AGAGCTGTGACCTCGGGCAGGGTCGGCGTGCTGGGGGGCTGCCTGTGCTGCTGGCCCTGGGCTGGGGCACAGCCGGAGGTCCTGACACTTGCAGGAGCTGTAGACAGGGAGGCAAGCACTGTGCACGTACTGAGACAACGCTGTGGAGCAGCCCCGCTGGGAATTCATGCCAGCGAAGGGCAGGATCGTGCCCAGGGGCCTGGCTTTGCCTCACCTGCTCCCATGGGTTGGGACATCCAGCCGTGTCCCATGGGGGACCGGGGGGGCTCCCAGGGCTGAGCTGCTACCTGGGCGCTGGCTGACATGAGCAGCGTGTCCATGGGACCGTCTGCTTGTCTTCAAACAAGAACATTGGGGTTCAGGAGAGGGAAACCCTAAACTCCATCCTTGAAACGCTTGCTCTGTTTGCTGAGGAAATAGGAGTTGGAAGCAGCTCTGCTCCAGCGCTTTCCCTAACCCCGACACTGCCCCTGTGCTGATTCATTGATTTGGACGGGTTATATACTGGGAGGGGAAGCATGAACCACACTCGGCTCTCTTGCCAGCACGGAGCTGTGCTTGCTCAGCGCTCGCGGCTGCAGGACACTCGGGTAAGTCTCCGCTCCGCTACTGGCCCTGTGAGCGGTCCCGGGCCTGGGGGACTCCTGGGGCAGCTCCGAGGGGTGGCGGCGCGGTGGTGGGATCTGCATGTTCAGCATCTTTTGATTCGATGGAGGAGTTTGTCTTGCAAGGGTTCTACGAAAAAGCAAGACCACTTAGGCATTGCAGGAGCTGCAATAGTTACATAGGCAACGTGTCTTAAATAATAGCCAACAGAGAAAATTATGAGGGGCAAAGTAACATTTAGGGGGGCTGAGGTTAGGAGCAGTGGGATGCTGGGCAGCTAAGTGGTAGGGACTCTTTAGCCCCTTGGTCTGTAAGCTTTTTGTCTCTAGAAGAAAAGAGGAGATGAGATAAATTGTTTCCAGCTGCCTTTCCTGAAGGGTGCTCCAGCGTGGATGCTCTCTGAGCTGCCTTACCAGGGAGTGACATGAGCAGGGCTTTTGATGTGCAGAGTGTTTGAGGAAGCTTATAAACGGCTTGCTATAAACAAAGCTGTTCTTGGATGCAGATTGTTTCCATATGGAAACCATGAACTGTGCTGGCTTGTGGAGGGTTCCTCCCTTCCCGCTGGAGAGCAAGCATGTTCTCTGGAGGGAGGTTGGGGTGGAGGGCAGGGGCTGTGCCCCAGCACCCTGGGGTGCTGTGCCAGCCAGGGCACCGTGCCCGGACCTCTTCGCTGCCAGACTTGCCCGTCTGGCCAAGCCTTGTTTGGAGCTGGGGGAGCCCGGGGTTTCCTCCCTCCCTTGAGCCGCTCGAAGCTGTTAGCAGGGGGCTGCTCCATGCCAGCCTGGCACAAGGCTGCTGCTTTAATCTAGGGAGGGAGGAAGCTCCCAGGCCAGAGAAGGGAAGAGAGGGTGTCTATGGTGGCTGTGCTTGTGGGGGTCATGGAGGACCTTGCCGTAAAGCCCTCACTCCCCCCAGACTTCAGGGCTCTCCCAGCCACTGTCCCTGGGACCAGCCTGCATACGGATCCCCACACCCGACCTCCCTGCTCTCATGGCCAAAATCGGCCAGGGTTGAGAACTCTTCCTGGGTGCAGACAGGGCCACCCCCGTACCCAGCCTGGGTTGGGGAGCTGACAGAGGGTCCCATTGACCCAGGCTCCTGCAGGACTGGAGCTAAGGCATGCCCGGGCAGCAGGTGCTGGCACTGCTTTTGGCTCTGCGACAGGAGCTCAGAGCTGGTCGCTGCTGGGCAGAGGCAGGAGGGTGCTCAGGGGTGCTGGGGTGAGCACCTTTCTTCCTTTGGCTGCAGATGCCACGGGCCAGCTCTGGTGAAGGTCTCGGCTGTTCAGTGGTGCCAGGAGGCCAGTGCCACTGATAGCAGCTCGCCACACTCGCTCGAAAAAA